AATCTGAAGGGACCCTTTCTTCCAGGCAAAGGCCTGGGAGGTGTTTGAGCTTTTGTGGCTCTGATGTCTCATTCGGGTAGAGAGTGGGGAGCCGCATATTAGGCGCAAGTACCATGGAGGCATTTGCCCAGGGAGTCCACCCAAAGGCTATCCTTAAATTCAGGTCCTACAGAGGCAACTTCCTGTGGTTAACCTTTCATGTCAGCCCAAATCTCTTCTTCTGCTACATGACATTTATTTGGACAGGTTTTGCCATAGTATGAAACCATTTTTATGTTTCTCTTTGGCTAAACGTGACTCTCCCTATGTAACAGGCAAAGGCAAGGCAAAGTCGGCCACTCGCCAGCTGCCACTGTCCCACTTCAGGCTCTTGTGAAAGCCTCTCCATGGTCTCCGCAGACTCTCCTGCCTTGACTCCATCTGCCTGCTCTTCTCAGAGTTGTGTTCCGTCACTTTGCTGCTTGAAAACCTTCAGTGGCCAAATAAAGGCCAGCGAATCCTTTACCCTGTCATTTAAGGTCCTACACAGTCGGAATCAAACCTATGTTGTAGCCGCTCACGAAAACTGGTGCTCTGGCCAACGGGATTGTTAGTTTTTCTCTGCTAAGCTTTACACTTCCCCACCTTTGTTGTATATCAGCACTGTCATTCCATCTAACTAATGATGATGCTTTAAGGAACACGCAGATAGAGTCCTTGTGGAATTCAGAGGATAGAAAAAAGAAATTCTAGCTGCAGGGGTTCAGGTTTGACTCAGAATACAAATTGTATTTCGATTGGGCCTTCAAGGATGTTATCAGGCAAGGTGAATAATCTCTGTATATAAATGAAGAAACTAAGATTTGAAATATATTTACTAGGAAATTATTTTCTCCCCTTTTGAAATAGAATGTATTTTTGAAGTAAAAAAATAATAAAGCAATGACAGTATAGAGTACCATAATAATTCAAGATAGAGGGATTTCAATCTGCACTCTCATTTTATTAAATAAAATTTCTTATAATGTGAAAAAAAAACTAGATAATCCATATACTAAGCTGCTGACCTCTCCTCTTTCACTGTATACTCTAAGATTAAATTGGCTTCAATATAGGCATCTATAGATGTATATATACATCCTGACCTTCTATTAGCGGACTGAAATTGACTGACTTACATAGTACCTGGGTTTTCATTTCTGATTTCCCTTGTCACGATGCTACTTGTGAGGTGAGTGGCAGAGGCTGGGAGTAAAGTCCAGGGCCATGGATTCACACAAAAGAAGCCCATGAATCTGCTTCACCAGGACTAATGACTAATTCCTTTTCACTTCTCGTCTTAGTTCTCATCTTACTTGTACAGAAATTATTCATAATTATCAATCTACTCGCTGGGTATAATATAACATAGACTATTAATAAATAGTTCTATATCATAATTAATATATATCAACTATGTATATGGTTTCTAAATGTGACCTGACTATTACATAACTAGCCTGAAGCTCTGCTCAGATTCAGCTCATCTCCCCAGCTTAGAATTCACCTCAGTCTGAGCTGCATTAGCAGAACTCCTTCATTTTTCCCTAAAGCAACAGAGCTTGCTGCTATTGAGTTTCACTTTAAAGACAGTTTTACCTGTGGAAAAAGTGACTTCTGTTCATTTATAACTATAGAGAGAGGCAGTGTAGCATGGTGGTTAAGAGCAAGGCCTCTGGGATCAAACTGCCTGGGTTTAAATTCCAGCAAGACCATTTATTAGATATTTAACTTTGGCTAAGTTGGTTAACCTTGGTTTCAGTTTTACTGTCTATAAAGTGGGGATGACAGTAATATTTATAACACTGTAGAAAGGATTGAGTGTATCCTATACATACGTATTCTTTCTCATATGATATATAAAATATGATGTATAAAAATATGTAATGTATTATATAAGAGAGAAACCATTTAGAATAGCATCTTGTATCTATAAGTAATTTGTTAATAATAATAATATTATTATTAGGTGTAACTTGTATATTAAGGCCCAAAGACCTTAATTGAAACGGGAGATAGCTGTTGGTAAATTCGTTTATTTTATTTTTGTTTATATATCTACTCCCAGAGCTAAATAACCAAAAAATAATTTTCTATTTCCCAGAAGTATTTGGATCTTGTCGTCATTTAATTTCAAACTGCAAGTCTAAGTTCAGTTAAAACTTTCATTGCTGTCACCTTGATTAAGCCCTGAGGGTAGAATTTATAGATTTATTGCTGGCTTAACTTGACTCACCATGGGGTAACATGTGAAGGAAACCTGGGCCGGAGGAGCTGTCATGGGATGTTTTGGTCTATGTTCTTTCTTCTCTGAATGACTTGTATCTTATTACAAATACTTATGAGATTTGAACTATTTGAACTGACAGTCTAAATTGATCAAATGAACCAAAAAACTGTCAAAACCCTACCACATTTTGTGTTAAAGACAGATGGCTCAATGAAGGGAAAGAAGGGAGGATGCGTATCATGCCCTGAACTCTGAAATCATTAGCACCACTTTCTACTCTGTTTGTGTTTACCTTTATAATCTCATGCGTTGGGCTTAGCACAGCAGCTAAGGAACCATAGGTTTGTTGAATCTTAGAGCTGAAAGGGACCTTGGAGGCCATCTAGTTCTAATCTTCCTTTTACAAGTGAGGAAACAGATTCATTTTGTTTAAATGACATGTAATTCACATGGACATGATTCAGTGTGAGTTTAAAGGGCAAAATCTTAATAAGATGAAAACTTGTCATTTCACAGCCATCAGAAGTCTCTCTGAATTCTGAACTCTTGGGCACTAAAAGAATTTCCAAGTTCTTTTGTAGCTGCTTTGCTCTTTGAAACTTGTTGAAAATACATTAAGAATATCATATCTGAAAATTTATGTTTACTACTATTTCTTTTTCTGTTGTGTTCATGTGCAGGCAGACCTTCATTAAGAGTCATCACTGAAGTGCAGTCCAGCAACGATTACATCTGATAAACTGCAAAATGCAGAATCTAGGATTCTTGAAGCTACTGTCAGGTACTCCTGTAATTATACTTCTTTGGATTTAATTGAAGTTAACTTGTTAGTTCCTTTACCAATCACACTCTGCTGAAAAGTGATATATTTTAGCTTCTGAATAGTTATGCTTCCCCGACACACATACATAAACCTACGCATACGTATGCAATCTCAGCTTTTTCTACCAAATTGAGCCAAAGAATCATTAGGCTGGAAAAATATTTATGATACATGATCAAGAATTTATCATAATAAAGGGACTTATCCTAAAACTCCAAAATAGTTGTTTATCTTGACTTCCTTTCCATTCCCAGGAAAGAGCTCTCTGTATTAGAAGTGCTTAACTTGCCGTAAAGTATAACGTTACATTCCATTGTAACGAACACTCTATTATGCTTGAAACTTGCTTTCTGATGAAGAGACTTTATATAAAACTTCTGCCCCAAATCGCAAAAACATGGTTCAGGAAGACAGGACTTAGACATAAAAGAAACCTTTCCAGTTTCCCTACTAAGAATGACCATGTGAAAAGAGGTGCTTTGAACCTAATGATGGAAGGACGCACACTGTCTCTCCCTTCTGCCATCCCATCATTTAAAAAAATCTTCGCAGCTAAGAAAGTGATTTGCTGTTCTTTGTTCTGTCTGTTTGGAAGCTGGGCTGGCTTTCCTTAGAGGGAAGCTGGCATGTTGAGGTGGCGAGTGAAGAGCTAAAGCCTTGTCAGCAGTTGGTATTGCCTCTGAGGGCCCGCCTGGCCTCCCCTCCCTCCCTCCTCGATCTTTTCTGCTTTATCACAATTCAGAGGGCACAGGAGGAGCTCACAGGATTTTACTTTTAGTCCTTCATATAAGTGCACTCACGCCTATCTTTTCAGCAATGAAACCTATAGCTCTGGAATCACTTATTCACTAGAACTGGGAAAGAAGCGTGACTCAGCCCTTCCCACCTGCAGAATGTAGTTTGGTATCTGCTAGTTATGCCCAGACATGATTTTTTCCAATTTATCCCGTTAGCTGGGACCTTCCCTCCACCTCCTCATATATGTCTTGTCATCTTTTATCAGTACAGTTGATTTTATTAAAACAAAAATCAAAACAAAACAAAACGAAAAAAACCCCATTACTCTCACAGCAAAACCAGAATGGCTCTTGTGTGAAGGGAGAGCATGCGCAATCAAGTGTTTTTCCGGGCGTGTGAGAGTTTATGCTTTTACGCCTCTCCTGGGACCAGAAGCACATGTTTGCAAGTTGGTTGGCCGGGGTTAGGGTTACAGTCAGCCTGTGACGACAGGGAACAGCCAGCTGGCCCTCCCTGAGAAAGAGTCCATCGGAGGTCTCACTGGCACATGCGTTAAACCAAAAGAATTACACGCCCCTAGTCAGTTATATGCAGCCTTTGTGAACTCGGTGGCCCGGTACTCTTCTTCCAGGACCGTTTGTCTCTCACTTGGGAACCAAGCGAGTTTGGGAGCACATAGGACCCAGGTGAAATGTTAACAAGAATCATTCAGACCTCAAATTTGACACTAAGGGAAAAGGGGAGACTTTTCTAAGAGCAGAATTTTCTTTTCCTTCACAACAGATAATAGGGTCTCTGAATGAACTGAATCCAAATACAGCCAGCTCTGAAGCACTCCCAGGTGAGCTTTTCTGATTTTTCTGTGACAATTCACAAAGCCCTGGATGCATAATGCTGCCCTGAAAGGAATGTAAGCCTGTCAGGTTAATCACACAATATTAGGTACGGAAACGAACAGCGCAACACGAAACACAGCTACATCATTATTTGCAGTAAATGTTAACTCTAAATAAGTGCAACCTGTCCACAAATGCTGGCCATAAACTAATCAAAAAAATAAAATAAAATAAAATCTGATGGATAAACATGAAAAAAAAAAATTCTCCCTGAGAATTTTTTTTTTTTTTTTAAACTATCAGCACTCATTTAGAGTTTGGGATTTGTGAAAGAAAAGCTTTAAAAGGAGCAAACCTGATTGGCTGTGGCTGCTGCTGCGAAGGGGGCACTTGTTGCAGGAGCTGTTGCCGCAGAGACAGTGGCTGACGTAGCGCTGTGCATCATGGGTACTTTCAGGAGGGGGACCATGGGAGCAATGAACAGGAGGGTGTAGCGTTACGGTAACAGAAGTGGCATTTTGGCATATGGTGAATATCAGAGCAGCAAGCCATCATGGGTTAAACCAGCAGATGGCATGCAATCACAATGCAAAGCAAGGAAGCATATGGGAGAGAAATAAAAAAAAAGGGAAAATAGCTTATTACAAGTACAATTAAAGGAAGTTTTAAAACATCATCAGTGATTCCCAGAAAGGCCAAAGCAGATTACTTTGGTTGAAGTATTTATAAACCCTTTTACCTCCAGCACTAGATCGTTCCCAAGTCAGAGTCTACAGTGTCTGTAATAAACGGTGCTCCCCAAAACGCGAAATTGTAATGTCCAAATGAAGTAAGACTATGCAATATTCACTTTTAATCATCATTCTAAAACATCAAAGCCTCGATAATGTAGGCCTAATTTGGGTTAGAATTTTCTTGGAATTAATTGCAGTTAAATTGAATGTTTTGGGTCGATTTGGGCCTGCCTGCTTGAACTGGAATTACTGGGGATTGTGGTTTATTTGGGTCAATAAACAGTGGAGCAGAATTCATGGCCTTGATGTAAGTTGTAACACAGTCACTGTGAAACAGCCAGACAAATTTTGCCAATGTTTATTTTTCTTTACTCTAAGTGGAACTAATCCATATGTCCTTAAGACAGACTTTCGTACCAAGGCATTGGAATGTGTGGGGATAGCTTATGTATGTACTATTAAAAGTTAATGTCTAAGGGAATGGTAAGGTACAAATACTCATCACAAATAAATCAACACAAAATTAAAAAGGATAATAAAGCAAGGCAGTTGAGACATTTGTTTTCAAAATACATCCATTTATAATTTTTTAAAATAAATACTTCTGGGAAACTCTGATAACTCTAACACACAGCAAAGAGGAGATAAAGGCACACCACATGAAACTTTAAAACATTGATGAAATTAGCCTGCCTCTCTGATAAAGTAAGCTTTTTTTTTTTCCTTATGCTAAACCATATAAACTATAAAGAGAAACAAAATACAGATCATTAAAAAGCAGACTCGTACTTGTGGTTTTATGTCTTGCAGTGGTTGTTCTAGTCACATTAAGATGGTCATTGTCTTCAGTATACAAGTACATTTTGAAACCTATACATTAACTCTAAAGCCAAATAAGCCTTCAGATCTACCAGTTCCTACAGCATTTCTACGATCTTTGAGATAAATCTCAGTCAAGTGAAGGTATTGTACATAATATAAAAGACAAATAAAAAAAGGTTGGAACCTACCAATACTGGTAGCGGGTGTCATGCACAAAACTGACCCTGCATGTCATGCAATGGTAGGTGGAAAAAAGTGAATAAAGGGAAAGAAACAGGTTAGCGGTTTAGAGTTAACATTCAAAGTGAGATTGAAGCACAACCAGAAATAAGTAGGGTTAGTTAACACAGTCTTTTAGAGTCATTCACATGTTCAGTGTGGACACAAATATATCTGACTTATTTTAAGCCAATATTATTCATTACTTTTCACACTTTTGATTCATCTCCATCGACATGATTCTAGTGAGAATGACATGTGATAATGCAGCAGTCACCTTCCTCTAAGACCTCACAGTATCTTACAGACATTCTCAAGTTCATCCTCCAAGGTAGGAAGTGGGTATTTTACAGATGAAAAATCTGAGGCATAGTAACTACTCCAAGGTCATGCATCGTGGGAGTCAAGGCTAAGGCTAGAAATAGAATTCTGTTCCTAAATCCAGGTCAGGTTTTGTATTCACTATATCACACTGACCTTATTGAATTAAAAGTTTGCTTGTTTGATTGTAAAATGTTTTGTGTCAATAACAATATGAAAATAAAAACAGTAATTAAGATTCCGTATCCTCTAAATCAAAGGGTTGCCGGTCAGGTGAATTTTAGATTACTGCTTGAAAGCCCTCAACGTAGGAAGACTGAGGTTCCCGTGACGGGATGACCGGATGTGTGTGTGACCTATTTTCTGTTATGAGATTCATTATGACAGAGGAGCGGTGGCTACCAATAAAATCTAAACACTGCAGAGGCAAAACAGCACTGAACTGAGGCTGGGATAGGACCAGGGCTAGGGGTTTTTGGTGTCTAGGTGGGTAAGTGGGAGGGTGGGAAGGAGAGAGGGAGGGAGTGGGGCTTACAGCCCTTCCTTGGGAATAGCTGCCTTACCTGTGGGTGGTCTTATTAATGTACTTGAATCAGAAAACTGACCATGAATATAACGTATGTTGTGGAATACTGAATAAAGAATTGTATTGAAAGGAATTATCTACTTCTGGTTCGGCTCCTTAGAGTGAAAATCAAGGTAATGTAAGGATGTAGATAACTGAAGATTGGGTGTCATATGGGTGCCAGAGAAGTAGTCTTTAATGAAGGTAGGTGAACCCACTTAGGGTTTTAGAACTGCCTTCTGAGATACTGGGTGAAGAATCTGAGATGTGTAGGTCTTTATTCTCTCTGCTGAACTGTTCACACCTGAGGGAGACTTTTTGCCTGATCTGCATTTTGATCAGGCCAACATTAACTTGTCAGGAAAAGAGGCTATTTAACTGGGCCACTCCTGGATTCTTCAGCAAACATGTGCTAATATATCCAACTGAAAACACACACACAAAGACCTCATGACACCCTATCTTTCTCCAGCCCTATGTTTCTAATCTTCTTCACAGTCAAACTTCTGGAAAGTTACCTACACATAAATTTGCACTTCCTTGACCCCATTTATTCTTCAGTCCTCTCCAATTTGGCTTTCATTTTCACCTCTCCACTCAAACTGCATGTCATCAGAGACCTCCTATTTCTGCAATCAGTAAGAACCCTTCCATCCTGAGTCATGGTAACATTTAGCACTTGTCTGCTCTCTCTGTAATAAACTACTCCTTTCCCTTGGATTTTCTGATAACACAGACACTGACACAGACACATATGCAAACACAGACACACACACACACACACACACACACACACACACACACACACACACACACACACACACACACACACTCTATCTCTATATACTAGAGTTTTTCAGGGCTCAGTCTGGTTCCTTTTCATCTACTCTATACTCTTCTTCTGGTATGTCATTCACTCCATGGTATTATTCAATTTAGGATTTAAATACCATCTACAAGCTCAAGGCTTCCAAATTTATGTATCCCGCCCAGATAGCTCCTCTGAGCTCCAGCTTTTTCCATCTAACTGTTTATCTGGCCTTCCTACTTGGATTTCTCACAAGCATCTCAAATAGAACATGTCCAAACGTTGACCTTTTCCACAGCATCTGTTTCTCCACCTCAGGAAACGCTAGATGGACATCACCATCGATGTCGTAGCTCTAGCCCAAACGGAAAGTTCTCCCTGTCACCAACTTTCCCTTGTGAAATTCCCTGGTCCAACTCACCAATAAGACAAAGCAGTTCTGCTTCTAAAGTGCATCTTGTGTTTGTCTGTTGGTCCATCTTCACTGCCACTTCTCATGGCCTGATCACCATTTTATGATCTGGGATCGGCTATGCAGTAACGTCCTAAATGGTCTTCCTGCCTCCATTCTTGTCCCCCCGTTTAGTCCATTCTCCATTCTGCTGGCAGAGTAAACCTTCCCCAATACAGGTCTGTTCACTTCTCTGCTGGAAATGATTCATTGCCTTCTCATTGCTTTTAGGATAAAGGTTCCCATGGTCTAGTCTCTGACTATCTCCCCAGCTCACACTATACTCCTCCCCTGGCCCCCATGCACCAAGCTCCAGACAGATTAGCCTTTCATTTCTTTGAAATGAACTCGTCACACTTTTGTCCTACTTTTGGGCTTCTCGCAAGCTCTCCCCACTGCCTAAAATCATCATTACCCCATTCTTCATTTTCCAGGTCTCGAGGTATATGTTGCTTCTTTAAAAAACTGTTCAATTGTTCTTTTACCTACCTTCACATGCCACTTAAATCGGTTTCCTATTTTAAACCTTACTGAACTCTCTACTTTTTCATTCATTATACTCAAAAAAATTTTTAATTATATATTTCTATGGCTATTTATTGAAATCCACCTCTCCTCTTCCACTGTAAACTATGGAGGGCAGGGTTCATGTCTGTCTACGTCTATGGGGCGCACGGTAAACAGTCAATTGAGTGAATGTTCTCAGCCACCAGTGAGTGTGTTGGGAGCAACTTGTTCCTAAAATTTATTAAAGTACCCAGTTTGTGAATGATTTCAAAGTCAACCGTGGCTGGATTCAAAATTATCCCTATAAAAATTCCATGTTATTCTCTCGCATTCCAATGTGGATGGGCTTTCTTGGAGCACTTTCCTTTCTTGGACACACCTGAATGTCACTGGGCTGCAGATCATCAACAGCAGCTCCTACAGCCACACTGGGCTAGGACTGGAACCGTCCTTTGGCTTCAGTTCAGGATGTGCCTGAAATGCTCAACCAAAGCAATGTGATGAGCATCTCTCTCTATGTGGCCTAAAAGTGATATGCATATCGGAAACACAGAAGTTTTGCAATGTGTGGCTGTCTTACTCAATGGCAGATTCTGGTCCTGATCTTCTTTCTAAGCTCCATCTCTGCCTTTTCACCCCACTCTCTCCGCCCCCCCCCCCCCCCACCCCCCCCCCCCCCCCCACCAAACACAGCCCCTTCAGTACTCTACACTGAGCTACAACGGGCAACTTGTTATTCCTCAAGTACACTGTTCCCAATCCATGCTCTTCCCCATGCCTGGGATGCTCTTCCCGCACTGGTAAAATTTTCCTTTCAAAGTCCTAAGCAAATTTCTCCTCCTTTGGAAAGTCTTTCTTTCTCCATCTCCTTCGTTGCCACCACCTACTGCACGTCCGATGGCCAAATACATTGTCTCTTGCTTCCTCATTCTCAAATCGCTTTGCCCACTCCCTAAGGTAGCCCTTCACGCTTTGCATTATATTTGGTTTTTGCCGTGTTCTGAACTCCGTTGTATGCCCCTACTGGCTTTGGAACCCAGAACAGACTATGTGTTCAACAGTGGCTTGCTGAATTCAATAGGATAAACACATTTTGCTATGGTTATACAGATAGGGTTTCCACTAAACACTGACAAATCTTTCACCAAGGTGTGTGATACACTTATGTAATAGTATGGTTTCTGATCATTAGGCAGTATTTGTGCTATAGCACTTCCCTGTTCTACTTAGTCTGTATTTCCAATATAATGAAATAAATCAAGGAGAGAGTCAGTAGGTCGTCTTTGCTCTGACCAGCAGAAGCATTTCACTAAGGCACTAATTCTATTAACAAAGACTTCTCAAATGTTTTCTGCTTCAGTTGCACAAACATTTCAACTCTAGAATCTGCGAGTAGAATTATCTGGACAATTCCATGAATCATATATTCCACTTTACGGCAAAGGCACAGCCTCAGTTTTCCCATCTGCAAAATGCAAATAATTGTGCCTGCCACTTGGCAGAACTATCTTGAAGGATAATGAGATAAGAACACTTAGAGGAACTCAGAATAAACCTGTCAGAGAAATGCCAAGAATTATTATGCTGCTATTTCTGTGTGTGTGGTTTTTGTCACTTTCCTAACATAGCAAAGAAAAAGTATAACCACTAGGTTAAAATAATGCCTATCAAAAAAGGAAAAATCCCACCCACTGCAAACGTGCTAGGGCATCAACCAGGGTGATAATTATATTAGCATGGGTTTGGAGAAGAATCCCATATTTTGCGTAATATTTTAAATTAATATCTCCACAGCCTGGAGGCAGAATTCCTGAAATTCACAGTCACATTGTATCAATGGGAGAATTTTAGCAGCATATCAAAAGCTTCACTGTGAATGACCTTTCAGTAAAGGGTAACTTCCAGGAGAACATAAAATGTTTTTTTGTTTCACATTTATGATAATTGTTAATGTAAAGTATTGAGAGAAAAATCAAAATCTGTCAGTTTAAAAGTAATGAGCTCCTCATTTACTAAGTTAAAAAAAATTATTTTTGAACATCATCACTTAATTTTCAGAGTTTAAAACAACAGTGATTAACAAAGAATGATTATTATCATTATCATTTTAAATTAGGTTGAAAATATGGCTTATGAGAAAGAGTGCCTGAAATAAAAACTAGAGCCAAAATAAACACTGAATTTTCTGTTATGGATTTAACTGGGGGAAGGACTATGCTAATTTCCTTTTAATAAAATTATCCTTTCATCATTTAAGAGAAACGTGAAAACTTCATAGAAGTTGAAATACCATTTCAGAGCATGAGATCCACATGTTTGTTCATTATGATATTTATGTCATGTTACAGATGGAAATACTTCTAATCCACAGAATTAAGTGGGCTAGGACCCACTTTTCTGCTCCCAGAGCCCACCCTATGGAGAGTTGCTGGACACACTTGAACAGTTCTTAAAGAGTCCAGCAGGGGGAGGAAGTGCACACCACAGCACCCAGAACAGCCTTTGGGTCCTCAATACAAGCATTTCATCAACTATAATCAAGCCATTGCAAATGGGACGTTATTCGTTCTTGCTTTGGAAGTCTTTAAATGGTTTCCAGGTGAAATATTTTTAAATGAGAATTCTTCCAGTGATTTAACAAGTCAGTCATTATTGAATTGAAGCGTTAAATATGAGTTAGAGGCCTTCAGCCTTTTGCATGGCTTAGCTCCAGGGTTTCAGAGGCATTCCCAGGAAATGGTAGTGGCATTACTACCCAGTCTTCAGAAACAGACTTGTCCTTTTCTGGTTTTCCCCTCAGTATATTCTTCCACAATTTTTTTCTCTTAAACTATCTAGTGGCAAGGTCTATCAAGTAAGACACTTGTAGAAATCACACAGGACCTTCAGATAAGTTTACCTTCTAGTAATTATTTTATAAACATGCTATATCAAGTGGACTACAAGTACAATCACTGCTGTGCTATAACTGTACTGAAATGTCACTAATTAAGGTTGTAATAGGACAAGATTGAAGCCCCAATAATTACTGATTTGGAGACACATTCTACAGGTCTATGAGTCTATTTATTTTCAGAGAAGAGCAGAACTAAAATAAGAGAACTATATACTAAGAACCACTTTACTAATGTAATTTATATTTTTTACTACAATATAAATATTGTTAGGTTAATAATTCATTTCAAAGTGTAGATTTTATATAAAGAATAGGATAGAAATATTTATTCAGCTCCCTCCTATGTTAATTCCTGATATGCTACAGTATTTAAGAAAATGGATAATTAACGTGAAAAGTCCACCCATGTGGATTGGGATCAGTATGCTTTTTTTTTTTTTTTTTGATAAAATTGTTATTCACCTATATTGACCTTCAAGTCACTGTCATGGGCTGAAAATTTTGACTTCAAACTAAGAACTCAATGGACAGCCTTCTCACTAAAGCCTAAGTCACTCCCTGGTTCTTTTTTTATTTTTATTTTTGACACTCCAGCAAATTTTATTTTGCAAATGTTATCCCTTCTTTTAGCTCAGACTAAAAGGTCAAAACCCCAGTCATTTATGGTGACTCTTTGTGTTTGGATATGGTGTATGTAGGTCTGTGGTCAGGGAGGTGGGTATAAAAACAGAGGAGGGTTGGCGTGCATTTGTACTTTTGTTTCTTCACTTTTATCTGATGTTTTATGCCAGGCTCTAAAGGAGGACCCTGGCCTCCGCCTATGGAGGCTGGCTGGTGTCATGTCATGTACATCGAACTGGTCACAGGGAAACTGGGTTCTAGGTCTTTTTCTCTTTAGTAGTGCCACCTTGGGAAGTCACTGCACATTTAGGGGGCCTCAGCTTTCTCATCTGTAAAACAATCAATTGCATGAGGAGATCACTAAGAATCCTTTAAACTTCAAGGTTCTGTGATTAACAGAATTCATTTCTTAGTAGGATGACAGAGTTAAAGCACCTTAGCACCTAATATTATCAGGCATTGGCTTAGAAACTGAGGATAAGAGTTCTCTATATTTGTGAACTTGGTGGAAGTTGAGAAGGATGGCAAAAGAGATAGAATGGATGTAAAAATATGAGCAGATGTTTGCTTTAATTTGAATAGCCTCTTTTTTTGTTTGTTTTGTTTTGTTTTGTTTTGTTTTGTTTAGTGCTCTGAATAGGAATAGGAAAAAAAAAAGGTTAGTATTTACTGGCATTGCTATTTTTAGGTCATTCAGGGTTAATGACAAATTTCAATTGTCACACATAAGAGGTCTTACTTACATAAACAATTTTTACACAGCTTGTGTAAAATACAAGAAACCAAAAGCCTAACTGCTGTTTGCTTCTCACGGGTTCAAACTGTCACTTAACTCTATAAAATATTTGGCTTTAGAATCCTAACAGTCTTTAGCTATTGTCCCAAGCAAGGTAAATTATCTAGATAGCTAGGACAATGATGAGTTTCAGGCTGTATTTATCGTACCTTTAAAAGCAAACTAGATGCCACCGAACAGCTTAAAGGAATGAGAAGAAAGCACATGACCGGAGGGCACACGGACACAGGACTTGGAACTGTCAGGGCACGTACCTGTCGGAATGAATGCCGTGTGTTGCTGCAGCTGTGCACTGGTGAGAGCCTGCTGGTAGTGCAAGACGCTGGGATTAAAGACGGTGCTGGCACCGTTGCTTTTTTCAAGTGCTTGTCTCTTTGGTAAAGGATGAAGAGCACCAGGAGGAAAGGCCTGTAAGGGAAGAAGTGGATAAGATACGTGTAACTCAAAGTGAGCACACCTTCAGCGTCCACAGAGATCATCAACTGCAGCATACTTTTAAAAAATGACAGCTAAGGAGATGCGTCTGCCATGCACCTTAATTTAAACAGCGGCAAAGTCGAATGAGTGAGAGTTTGTTACCGAGAGCAAAGCATGATTTCTGTAATCCAGAACGGTAGCATCTTAACTAAGGAAAAGAAAAGCTATCAAGCAACAACAATGAAAAATGACTTCAGCTTTTAAAATGAGTTAAACTAGTCTAAGGGGGGAAGGAAGCATTTGTGTTATTATTAATACCTATTCTTTTCCTTAACAAAGTGGCAATTTCTTGAATTTAAAGGTTAATTAGAATTATAATGAGCATTTTTCCAAGCCAAGTAATTTAAATTTGCTTCACTCTTTTGGAAAAGGTATTAAAATTTGTTAGGATTAATTTATTCCACATATTACATATGAAAATGAGATGGCTAAACACCTTATTGAAGTTTTTTCATTAATTAATAATAATGATTGTTTGCAACCAATATTTTACAAGTAATACAAATCTCAGATGGTTCTCTGAAAAGCTACATGCAAAGCGAAAGGTGAAAGGTCAAAGTACCAGGTCTACAGATGCTTCGAGAGGTCGCTTCATTGCTTTGGCAGTCGACTGAGTCTTTTAATAACAGGCAGCGAGCACATGATGGCAGTGGGCCAATGGGATTCAAGCGAATTAACATACAGGTAAACAGCAAGCAGAGGTGCATCATGGGAACGGCATTGCATTGTGGATAGGTGAGAAGGAAAAAAATATTCTGAATGCAATATACAACGTACAAAACACTAGGCATGCACAACAACAAAAATGTTCTCTAAAGAAATGAATATTACACCTTAAATTAGTATTGAAGCAAAAATGCATCTACTATACCTTAGTTAAAAGCATATAAGAGAGTAAAATATAGATGTTTGAAATTCAGGAAAGTTAATTAAAACAGCAGCTTGCATACACACCATAAGCATTTTTTACATTGCTTCAGAAAAAAATGCAAAACTTTTAAGGGCCACAGGATTGAAGAACTTCTGATAAGTTAGTTTTCAAATATAAAATAATGAATGCACTACGTATAACATCCAAGTTATAAGATCCAAGTTGAAAAAAATGATAATATCTTTAACTTTTATAAAAATAATTTTTAATGAAGATCTAGCCTAACAAAATGAAGCGGCAAACTGAGACAAACAATTCAGGCAAAAAAATATTCAAACACAAGATTATTTAGGCAAAACTGTTTGGGTTTGGATCTTAATTTTTTTGTCTGAATGATGTGGATAATTGTCTCAATTTTTCTATTCACTTTGCTAGTGTGGATCTGGTAACATGGAATAAGGTTCCAAGCTTAACAAGTTTTGAATTTGCATAGTAGGTTTCTCAAATTTCCTGCTTTTATTCCATCATATGGTTTCTCATGACTAACTTATCATCCATTCTGTTTTCCACCACATTTGAAATTTTAATTCAATTTATCGCAGACAACTTACCAGATTACACTAAGAAAATACCCTTTAACGGGTATTTAGTGTCCTCAGGTATCAAAATAATTTATACTTAATAATTCTAGTCGTACTTTTAAGTATAATCAGTGACCAACCCAGTTAATGAGATGTGGGAAACTCTTGGCTAGAACAAGTACAATAGCTAAAAATAGCAAACAGCTAAAAGATAGCAAAGAACTGCTTGGACTATTAGAAGTCAAATAATATCTTTAACTTATAACCATACTTGTGGGCAGATAGTTTCATTTGAACAGCTGAAATAATAATAAAGAGTGATTGATTTAGACCATGATGAAGAAATTTTCCTGTTCCTTGATAACTGTTGTAAAAAAAAATCTAAAAATTTTATGATGGAATTCTATGAAAATAAAGAAATTCAAAGGAATAGCTCCAATGCAAACAAAAGAAATGAAATACCCATTTTCTATGTTTAGCACAATAGGTAAATCCCTAAGGTTTGCACAATAAATACAAAATGTTTTATTCTAAAGTTCCGAGTTATAGCTATGGCATTTGAAAGAAAATAGGATAGTATTTAACCCTCAAAATGGGAAACAATGAATGATATCGTCCCTGGCCAATAAAGAGCGGT